CCTAAGAGCGAAGGCCTCCAACCTAAGAGCGAAGGCCTCCAACCTAATTGCAATGGCCTCCAACCTAATAGTGATGGCTTCCAACCTAATTGCAATGGCCTCCAACCTAATAGTGATGGCTTCCAACCTAATTGCAATGGCCTCCAACCTAATGGTGATGGCCTCCAACCCAATAGCGAAGGCCTCCAACCTAAGAGCGATGGCCAATTTCTTGATCTAAGGCTTTTGGACACCTTCATTGTTGTCCTGGTTCAGTTCCTTGCCGGCTCCTCAGCACCCTTTGCCCCGTCCTCGATGACAGTCGCACATGCATGCATGGAGCGTCCCTTGCTCCGTTCGTAGCGATGCCCTTTGTTCCGTTCGTAGCGAACCTTGTTCCTACATCCGTCCTTAAAGGTTCACAACATCGCTGGCAACATCATTGAGCCCCACATTATGTCTCACGGCCAGGGCGGCAGTGAGACACCAGAAGTCTCTTGTTCCTCGTTTCAGTCGACCGTCTCTGGTTCGTTTGGGATCAAGTTGAGGCCTGCAATTGCATCCATTGACTATTGTAGTATCACTTTTGCTCGGCCCTCGGTCGGTGGGAAGTTTTGAGGCGTTCGAGCAGAAGAGAGAGAGAGAGAGTGTGAGGTTTTGGAGCAGCATTTGGGGAATTGCTGGCTGATGCCTTAGTTGGGATATCTTTCCGCTGGCCCCCACGGGCTTTTCATGGGTTTGTTTAGATGAGTTTTGACCCTTCCGCATGCTCTATTGACCCGAGCCATTCGGACAAAGCGCCGATGTTTCTTGATGCTTTAGGTGCCATACTGTCAGTGCCAATCACCTGTGTCTTCCGATTGTGGCTGGGTGAGTTGGATGATCATCGAGCTAAGCGCCTGTACAGCAGCTCGGCGCTGACTTGGTACTACCCAGGTGTGTTACTCGGTTGTTTTTTTTCATCGAGTCTTGGCGGGACAAATATATGAAAGACCCCTACTGGAAGGCGACCATTGTTTCCTTTGTCCACAAACCTACTGCTCATACAAAGTGCTTTCTTGCCAAGACAGGGCAGAGATCGAAACTGCCACAGGGCAGGAAGGATGCTTCAGGTCAGACATGGTCAGACAGCCGCAACAGCAAACAACATCACTGCAGCACGCCTTTTCTGTCAATAATATTGTTCAATCATGCTTCAAGTTGGGGTTCCAGTGCCGAGGACTCTTCGATGATCCAATGGGTTGAGCCAGCTGGCAGGACTCGCGGAGATGTAGCCTGTAGCTTTAGCATGCTTTAGCCATCCACGCCTGAGGGCACAAAGACCTGAAAGGCCCAAACGGCTGAATGCAAAATGGACGCGACTAGGGGCTCCTGGCATCGCTACTGGGAGCAAGGATGCTACGAACGGGGCTCCTGGCCTTACTACTAGGAACAAAAAGCTACAAGAAGCAAAGATGCTACTAGGAGCTTTTTCGCGCGCGGGCGCGCGCGGGCAGGGAGGGTAGAGGACGCTACTAGGAGCAAAGGGCATCGCTATAGGAACTAGCAACAAAGAGCTGATATTCCACTGTCTCAGTGATGGCCTCCAACCTAAGAGCGATGGCCTCCTCCAACCTGCTAGCAATGGCCTGCAACCTATGAGCGATGGCCGTTTAACCTGCTAGCAAGGGCCTCCAACCTACTAGCAATGGCCTCCAACCTAAGAGCGATGGCCTCCAAGCTTGACCTTTTTTTGGTTTTTGCTTCTTTCTCCTTCAAAGCGTAAGCTGCCTTGTAGCTGTACAAGCCGTGCATCGTGGTTCAAAGCATCAGGTGCCGCTACTCGTTTCAAGGACGGCAAGTCACGACGCTTAGACGACGCGACGACACGACGAGACCGGCACACGACGCGACGACGACCGGATGCGGTAGGAGCCGATGCCCTTTGAAATGCTGCAAGCGATGTGCTGCCGCCTGGTGTTCAGAGGGAAGACTCGACGTTGGCGTTTTTCTTAGCGTGTTCAGGAGGTTCACGAGGTTCAGGTGGTTTCGCAAGAAGTCTTTGCAAGAAAAACATCGAATGGCAGCGTTCATGCAAGAGGTTGGCAGCTTTCGCTTACAAGTTGGTGTGCACTGGCGGAGTTCATTCCCGGGTTTCATTATTGATATTACCACTGCAAGCCAGGCTGTATCGAACATTTGTGGAACTGGCGGAAGGCACTAAGGAGGCACAAAAAGTCCGTTTTGGAGTTTGAAGGGGTGCTAACTCCAAATGCTTCTCTTTGTTTCAGGCATCTCCCCTTCCTGGGGCCAGTGCGCTACCATTATCGCTCCCAAGAAAAGCTGTCACCGGGCTTGAGCATCGAAAGAGTCAGAGATGGCGCTTCAGAACTTCATGTGCCAAGGTGTTGCTTCTGTTGGATGCTGCCCGGGGACTCGTTTCTGTCTTCATTGAAACGATGGATATCGAAATCTCGGAGGCCTCATGAGTCAAAATGAGCTGCTACGAACGGAGCAAGGAGCTAACTAGGGGCTCCTGGCCTTACTACTAGGAGCAAGGACGCTACTAAGAGCAAAATGAGCTGCATACATGAGACTCAGAATTCGGATGCCAACCGCTAGGAGCCTTGGCACCATTCCAAGGTTGCACCACCTCTCCCACCACTGGGCCCAAGCTAGTTCCTCGGAAGGACACTTGCATGCGTAAGAGAAGAGCCTTCGGAAGACTCAGTATGTAGGGCATTTCATCCACTCAGATGGAGGCCAAGCCGCTAGTAGGTTTGGCAGGCCATTGCTAAGTCGGTTGGAGGAGGTGATCGAGAATCCGCTCGGGCCATGTTTGGGTCACTAGGAACAAGGACGCTACGAACGTAGCAAAGGGCATCGCTGGAACGATCGGACGCAACTAGGTGAGGACGCTACTAGTAGCAAAGGGCATCGCTACTAGGAACAAGGTTCGCTACTAGGGGCTCCTGGCCGTACTACTAGGAACCAGGTTCGCTACTAGTAGCTATAAAGGGCATTGCTATTCTCTCTTTTTTGCAGGTGGAGCCACAGCTCGCCGCACCCTTGGGTACTACGCTTTGAGTCGACGAATCGAGCTACGGTACTCGTGAGCGTGTCCTTCGAAAGGACACCGTTGGTGGGAATTGCGGGCACGTTTATCATTGCCTCCAAATCCAACTGCTGCGGCCCCAAAAAAACGGCGTAACTGCTTGGAATCATTATTGCACACCCTAAAAACTGATCGCTATGAGCATGTCTATTCCATTACTATTCTCGACTCCCCCATTTGGAAAACAAATCGGCCCAAAAAAAACAGCTATGGCATGATTTGATCACGTCGCTGAGATCACCTGGATGGAATTGGCCAATGAGCTGGACAATCTCCTGGAGTTTTGAGCACCGGGCCCTGCGCCCAATTCGCCGATGCAAATGCCACGTCCCTTCGCACGTGCGGTGTGAAAAGGACTGCTGTCTCGCCATGGCCGTAAACAATCGCAAGAGACTATCCGAGTCCAGCCATGCCTTGTAATCCTTGTGCCCTTGACGGCTGGTGACGGTTAGGCCCAAGTCACCGATGTAGACACGGATCCCGATGCAAGCACTTTTTTCCAGCAGAACACGCATGTCATGAAAGTTTTGATGGTAGGTTATGCTATGCTATGCTGCATGCCCACGCAAACACACACACACACACATTTTACTCGAGCAGAATGCAGAAGTTGCTAGTTGATGAACGAGTGTGGACGTGCGAGACACAATATATGAGCATAGAGGGAAGCCGAGGGAGAGTGACTTGGAGAGTGTGACGCGGATGGACTGCGAAGATTGGCCCACTTTGGAAGTGGAGTCGCCGCAAAATCCCCGCGATTTACGTGTCAATGTGCGAAAGCTACAGCATCTACCCGGCCTACCCTTGGACTCCTTGGGATCAACGGGACAACCGGGATCCACCTCAGATTTCAGTTTTCAACAAAGAGTTGCAACAAAACATTGGAGAACTGTTCGTGCTCAGCTCAAGGCGCATACTTTCATCTTGGGACTGCAGAAGAAGCAGCAGGCCAAAGAAAGTGAAAAAGAGGAAGAAGGAGATGAAGAAGGAGAGTACTACAACATCCATTCTTCGAGTGAGCAAAGCAGCCCTAAGAGTCCGAATGCTGCAGGTTGGACCCAAAATCCGCACGTGCAATTGCTTCAATCACAACTTGAAGAAGCAACCGAAGAGATTGAACGGCTTTACACTGAGAAGGAAGATGTCGAGCATTTGCTTCATGAGGTACGAAGGAATTCCAGTAGGAGTTCCATCAGATTAGAGCACATTCCAACCCCAATGAGCCCAGAACGAGTGTCTGTGGCTTGTCAATGTGAAGAGATGCCACCTTCAGTCCCATCTCCAATGGGCCGCAGGGCTTTCTCAAAGACACCCGTCTCGCCTTTGTCGCCGGAGGTGGACGATGAAGAACGACTCGACCGTCGTGACCTGTTGGAATTCGAACGACGACTCTTTCTCGAAGATGCTGCGGCCTGGGAGATTGAGCGGACAGAACTCGAAGACAAGCAAGCTCAGCTAGAAGGAGAAGTGGCAAATGCGCTTCGAGAAGCAGAAGAAGCAGCAGAACGTGGGGACCCAGCAGTTCCACGTAAAAATGGTCAAAGGAAAACTTGTAGTCAAAACGCGGTGGTCAATGTGATCTTGGTCACGCTTGAAGCTAAGCTGCTTCAGAGTCCACCATTTAGCATCTTTGCTACTAGTAGCGATGCCAGGAGCCCCTAATAGCTTCTTGTTTCTAGTAGCGATGCCCTTTGCTCCGTTCGTAGCTTCCTTGCTCCTAGTAGTAAGGCAGGAGCCCCAATCGTAGCGTCCACCATGAGCGTTTCTGCCGCAGAATTCGAGGTGTGAACCTTCAAGAGGTGCAAATGGAGATGTGGCGGAATGAATTAGCACAGGCGCTGTGTGCGCTGTGTGGCCAGGCCGGTTGTTGAACATGTTACACATCTGGTTTCACCATGAGGCTCGGGAGCAAGAAGAGGAGGTCCACTATCGTGCCTCCATGCATTTTAGTACTTCCCTTAGATTGGATTTGCTCGTTTGCACCCTTCGGGCTCAAGGCAGTTCAAGATCAGTTTTTGTCAGGTCTGAGGCAGGAGAACATGTGGTGAGACCCTCAGCTTGTTGGCCTGGTTTCTGTTTGTGCTCGCCCAATCTCGCCCAGGCTTGCTGCCACAGATCATGTGGAGAAGCGAGAGAGGCTAGTTGTGATGCGTTGCTTCTTTGCCTGGCGAAGCGACCTCGATTTGAAAGTCGGCCTCTCAGACCTGGAACATGGTGGAACATGGTGGAACGAACCTCCAACCGGACCTACTAATGGCCTAGAGATCTTGATCATGTGGACCTGGATATGAATCACTGAGTCACTAAGGGCTCATCCAAAGCTGCTTTATCCAGAGTGGCAGCACTGGATATCCTGTCGCGCTTGCAAATCGAACAGGGCTGGCTGCTTCTAGGCACTTGCCTGATGGGTTGGTACCAGACCTGGAAGCTCGGTCGCACGTGTGTCACGCTGTATTCACACCTTATGACCGTGTGGTGCTTGTCATGGTAAGGTCGAGATCCGAGGCCAGGGTCAGGGTCGCTAGCAAGCGACTAGTGACTAGCAAGCGACTATATATACCCTAGCAAGTAGCTAGCAAGAAGCTACGAACGTAGCTCCTGGCATCGCTACGAACTGAGCCAGAAGCTACGAACGCAGCCGCTAGCGTTTTGTGATTTGCAGGTTTTATGAGCTCGTGTGGTGCTTGTGGCGAACTGAGCCAGCAACATTCAACCCTGAAGGTGGCCCAGCGCGCCTTGAATAGCAAGTCCTCCATGGAAAGTGGAGCACTTCTCCGTCAATGCTTGAACCACTGGCAGCTTCAGTTGCTTGGGCGAATTGCGCAGAAGTCGCTCGCATGCGTGGAGTTGGGGGCAGGCCGGGTTCCCCCAGGCCTTAGGATGCCTCAGGTCGAACAGAAACACGTCTGGGGAGTGCAGCTTTGCTGTCGACTCCAGAACGTCCACCCTGAAGTGCCAAGCCAACACCCGCCACCCTAAAATAACATCCAAAACAATTTTAATTCTACTAAATAGCGATCCCAGGAGCTACTAGTAGCTTCTTTATACCAGTCTTCAATCCGCTTATAAAACAAACTAGTAGCGATGCCCTTGTTACTACTAGCGTCCTTGCCAATAATGTATTATACATGCGACATGTTGACGCCTTTGCCGCTTCCAACTAGCGAAGACCTTGACCTATACAAGAGAGAAGTGGTGGCAAAGCGCACTCGAACAATTAGGGCCGTGTTTGGAGAGAACCATCTAGCAGGCAAGGAAGAAAGGACCAAAGGGATCCAAAGGGTGTGAAGGACAGAAAGAATAGTAGACGTCCAGTGTGACCTGTCTGACGGTGGGGTAGTCATAGGTAGTCTGGGGTAGGTCGTCAAAGACCGCCGTGGAGACAGACCAGTTCGGTTGTTTCCGTTTGTTTCGTGTGTCGCCATGTATCACGCACCAACTCTTTGCGGCAAATTCAGTCCGGAACTATAACATATGAACGCCCCTTTGCAAGAAGAGAGAGGCCGTCACTATCACATGGTACCTGATACCTGTTGCGCCACCGTTGAGAGCTCTGTCAGAGGACTTTGGCGGTTTTCATGCTACATCCTGAGGCTCCAAACCCGAAGAAACACCGTGAACGCTGCAGCATTTGTTGCGCGAAAGCTGGCGTTGGAGGCTTTGTTGCGTCTTCACTTCATGCTGGTTGTCAGATGCTTGACCTTGATGGAAGATAGGAATTCACACACATACGATATGAACTTGACAACAAGCAACACACACAAACGATATGAAAGATTAATGTCACCTGTCGAGACCATTCGAACAGAAGAGCCTCCCCTTCCTACCCAGCCAGTGGATAGCCTGCAACCTGTTTGTTTGGGAATTAGTTTCCTCATTAACGGAGAGAAAGTTAACCTTCATTTTGAAAGGAAACTGAGGGTTCAGCTTTTCTTGTTAGAGGTGCAGCGCCTCCAGCTCTATTGCCTGAAAGCTTGGCAATTGAGCATGGCAACTGGGACCAAACATTTGAAAAAAAACGACGCTTGTGCTTTTTAAGCATGTACAAAAATTGCACTTGAATTTTAGCATGTGCCTGAATTGTTGGTGAGATGTGCTGAGTGGTCTTGCCTCAGGCGGAATCGGCACGGCAAGAGGGCACAGTGGCCTTGCGCCAGAGAGAACCATCTCAGGCGGAGGCCGGGATTTGTGCAAATAGGCTCGACATGCAAACTACGTACAAGTGGGTCCAAAGCAATCAATCGGTATGGCGCTCAGCGGAGAGCAGGAACTAATATGTCTCTCAGGTAGCCCTTGGCAAGCAAGTGCGGGCATTGCAGACAAGCCGAGCAGCTCTGGCTGCAGCGCAAGATGCAGCCCGAAGGAGCTGGGTGGAGGGCTTAGAATTATTTGAATATGAAAAAACACATTGTCCTTTTCCTCATTTATTAAAGATATGTGTGTAATTTGCGAGGCCAAAATCCCTCCAAGAATCCGACCGCCACAAAAATCAATTATATGAATACCTGTTAAAGTTTAGACAGTATAAGGTGTAAAGTCTTTCTATTCCATTTAATTAAATTTCATTAGACCTTCTTCGTGCCTTGGCCTTGACAAAATAGCTTATGATGTTGTTACTTTCTCTTTTTAAGGTGATGTAGCGGGTCCTTAGCTAAATATATTTATTCTATAATTGTGCTTGAAAATTGCGATAGGCGATAATTTACATTCATTATTAATATATATATATATATTTAATATTTAGAGGATCGTTAGATTTTGCAAAATAATTGCTTAAAATATATGTTAATTACGCATTAATATTGTGTTAATTTTACATTAATAAATATTGCTAGATATTAATATTATATGGATCTTTATAGAATTTCTAATAAATTTAGAATATTAAATTGATTTGAAATTCGGATATTATTAATTGAAATTTACATAATATTAATAATGATTTTTTATATATAATATTAACAATATTATATTTATATTTATTTTATTATATTTAATAATATTTTAAATATGTTTTATAATTAAATTACAAATATATAATTATTTATTAAAATATATTTTAAAATAGAATACATGAATAAATTGGAAATAATTAAATATATATTATAAATTAATATATATATATTGATATTGGTTTTTTATATTATAATATATAAATATTAATGTATAATTGTTTATATTTATATTATGGTAATAATTAATTTTATATAAATATATATTTCTTGGATTTATATTTTAGATGGAAATTATGGTATAAATAAAATTTATAAAATATTTTTTTTAAATTGGAGCATATAATTTTTTGATAGATTTATATATTTATCTTTATATTTATAATGATATATTCTTTGATATAAATTAATTGATGTGGTTATATTTTAAAATCCAAAGACTTTAAATTTCATTGGATTGATTCTTTTGATAATCGATTTTATTTATTTTTATTCATTAATTAAAGGTTTTCGATTTGATCTATAAATATCGAAATATTATATATATATATTCGAAATTATAAATCTAAATTTATCGATAAACGAATAGGATATGTTTATTATTAATGAATTTGCATATTGTTATATTTAATTGTATAGCTACGTCGATTAGGAACGAAAAGCAACAGACGAGATACAGAAGAAGGCCCATATAACATTAACAAATACAAATTATGCGAACGTCTTACCTAAATCTACAAGGTTCTATGGGATTTCATGTCGATCATCTAATCGAATTACAATTCGATAGATGGGTTGGAGCTAATCAGCAGGTGCAAGCCAAAGTATGTAGCACTCACTATTATGTCTTCAATTATGAAGATTTGGTTATGTCTTCAATTATAAAGATTTGGTGAGGTCGTATTCCATCAATAAGGAGGTTTAATGACGAATTGCAAGGCCGAAATATAGTATCCATTTTAAGGTATTAGGCCTAAATAAAAGACGCGGACCAAAACATAAAAATTGCGCCAAATTACCGAAAAAATTGGAAGTAATATCTCAAATAGATAAGTTCGCAAAATTTACAATCCAAGCTCGGAAAACGGTCAATTTAAATATATATTAGGCTATTAGATTAAAAGATGCAAATATATGGGTCATTTTCAATTGTTGCCTTTTGTAAATCACGGCAGTGCAATAAAAATTGCGCAATCATAAAACCTTAATCCTTTAGCGAATGAAAGCGGCATTTTTACCATCCAATGAAAATCCGGTTATCTTCATAATAGCTAAAAAAATACGACCTAAATTAATCAACAAATTCAATTACATCCTACGAATCCAAAACATCCCAAAATCTCTATAGATTTATTAATCTATGCCGCATAATTAACAAACAATTAATATAATTCGCTACTTTCCGAATTCCTCATTAATATATCCAATAAATAAAAAATTATAATCGAATAATCATCCGAAATTTAATTCTTTAATATAAATTTCATAACCATAAATTTATAAATATATTCCGATTTCATAACCAAATTACAAAATTCATTATAATATTTCGTATTATATATAAAATTCACTAAATTCTATTTCGTCGACTTAAAATACTTAACATTATAATCGCAACCAAAATAATTCCAATAATTAAAACTTAATAAACATATATTAAATAAATTCTATTTGTTAAATTAAACATATAATACATATTAAAAAATATACAAATAAAATATTAATTAAAAAAAATCATCAAACAAGAAAAAAAATCAATCACAAAAACTAATACCAATTAATATTCTATATTACCAATTAAACAATTAAACTCATCGAATAAAATATGTATTTCGTCCCAATCAAACCTAACCTACAACTAATAATTATCATAATATTAATATATTTTCGTTCAATATATTTCTTCATAAAATCTTAAAAATAAAAAACATATCGCCCAAATACATCTAAAAATCCGAAACGAAAACGATAAATAAACATATTTCCTTACATCAATATATTATCATCTATACATTAAACTATTCCTCTATAATAATATTCAAATTCAAATATATATCCTTCCATAAAATTGACTAAAAAATCGATGTTGACTTTATTATATCTTAATATTAAAATCGATAAACTACAAATTATTACAAAATATAAGCAATATTATTGAATTCAATACCAAAGATATTTAATCAATGCTTTACACTCATAGAAATAATTATATATTAATATGTTAAAATCCAATTATCAATTGCTATTTTATGTTCAATCTTGAATTGATTTGTAATCGATGATATCCACCATATTATGTCGGTTTGGACCGAGGTCCAAAACGTGTGAGGTCTCGTCCAAAGATAAAGGTGCCTCGTTGAATGTCTGTAAAATCCCTTCAACAAAAGATTTGTTTTTGTCAAAATAAAGATTTATCCAAGATGAGAATAAACCTTCAAGAAACGATGGATCATCGGATGATTTAACCAAGGTACGCAACCAATCAGTGCTCAACATGAAGCGGTTCCTCATTGATAGTTGGAGAAACCAATAAGTGAAACGCCAACCCAAGAATGCCACGAAGCCAGTTATACGATTGACTCCAGGCAAATTGGCCATGATTGCCGTGAGGCCACCCAAATATGCCATTGTGCCCTGTCCAGCACGAGAACTGAAAACCAAATCGATCCACAGGATTGACAACCATTTGCACCGTGTGATCACTTTTTGAACAAGCAATGGCCTCCAACCTACTAGCGATGGCCTCCAACCTACTAGAGATGGCCTCCAACCTACTAGAGATGGCCTCCAACCCAATAGCGATGGCCTACATCCAATCGTCTCTGTGCCTTGTTGTGGAACTCAAAGGGCTTGATCTTCTGCTGGTCATCTTCGCTCAGTGACTTTGCCAAATATTGTCCTACGAATCTGGCGTGTGAGTACCATGGATGTGTCGATCCTGGTCCTTTTCGTACTTTTCGTCCTTTCTTCAGCAATTCTTTCACATTTATATTTAGTTATTTTTGAAATATCTTTGCCTTTCTCTTGTACTATATTTGTTCTACATGCTCGGTGCTGGTACTGGGTATATGGGAGTAAGGTAGGGTGGGAACCGGGCCTACAAGCGCGGACTCGTGGTGAGTATCTGTTCAGTACTAGCTTTCCTGTTCAACCTGTAGTAAACATGGCGGAGTAAACAAATGCCACAAGGACCGCCTTCTGGTGTACCATGGATTTGTATCAGTGTATCCGCATCATTTGATCCATTTGGTCAATGTATGTTCATGTTCTTCCTCGGGGCTTTGCTTTTCATTCTACTTGTAATGGCCTCCAACTTAATAGCGATGGCCTCCCACCTAGTAGCGATGGCCTAGTAGCGATGAATCCAGTCCTTGTTGATGTTTATTTGAACATGTGCTTGGAGTGCAGTCCTTGTTGGTTTGCCACTTGAGCTGTCTGTGGTAGCCAATAGTCCTCGATGGTCGCACAGTCGCCGATAGCATAAATACCATCCTCTCCCTTGACCTTTAAGTAGGGATCCACCAAGATCTGCGTACCCTTGTCATTCATCATGAAGCCAAATTGTGTGACAAAGGGGTGAGGCTTAATCCCAGCGCACCAGACTAGCGTGCCATAGCGAATTGACATGGCACTTTCCCCAAGCTTCACATGAACCACACTTGGCTCCACCTTTTGGACGAAGGCACCCAAATGAACCTGTACATTCTGCTTCTTTCTCAAATGAGTCAGGGCATAGTCTTGGAGCTTTTGGTCAAAGGTGTTCAACAAATCATATGTGAACATGTGCACGCGGATGAAAGGCTTCAGGTCTTTGTACAAATGCGCCACCTCATTGTACAAAAAGTCGGTCAATTCACCTGCAAGTTCCACACCGGTCGGACCACCACCAACCACAATGAAGGTCAAGAGCTCCTGAATTCTCCATTTTTCCTCTTCACTCAATCTCAAGTCGTTGTCTAAGGCATTGGTGTAGGCTGCTTCCTCCAACTTCTCCAAAATCTGAGTGCCGAGAGGTCAAGACTGGGTAGAAAAGTCTCTTCAAGAGTCTGATATCGCCAAATTAGACATTGAACACATCACTCATTGCTTCGCTCCAAATTCTGAGGTCCCAACGTGGTCCTTAAAGCGCGTGGCATCTGCCGTTTCCTTCATGAACAAGGCGTTTTCTTTCACTCCTGGAATGTTGAAGTCATTCGGCTGAAATCCTATCCCAACCACCAACTTGTCATACGGCAGGTCATACTCCTGCCCACCCAAGGTCATGCATCTCACTACCTTCTTCTCCTTGTCAACACCAACCACAGAGCTTTCGTAGTACGTGGCCTCCTTTTTGGCCACCAGGGGTCTCACAGGCTGGCAAATAGACCTTTGGTTCACGGTTCCCAAGGCGGACGATGCCAGCATCGGTGTAAAGAGCAGGTGGTTTCGTGGAGAGAGCACTGTGACGTCGTTCTTCTTGCTGTCGATATCTGCCAATACACGGAAACTGGCCCAGCCCGTCCCCACGATCACCACTTTCCTGTCGAAGAGAGGAACGAACGGCTTCGTTCATGTCAACTGAGGGGTCCACCTCCAGTTCCTGAAGATGGACTTCCACCAAACATCCACCAAAAGCTTGTCCAATGAATATAGTGGCACTAGGCCATCGCTACTAGGTGAGTAGGATGTGAGCAAACCTGGGGGCGCCCTTTCTTTTCAACACATGAACATTCATCGGTGTCAGGTCGTTGCGATGGGATGTTTGGGCGTTTTGGCGAAGACTGCGCTCGACCAAGAATCGGTCGAGCTGGTTTCTTTAGGGGGGAGGAAGCTGAGGCTGCGGGCGCTGCACTAAAGGCCCGAAGGCCCCGGAGGCTCCGCAGCCCGCGGAGGCTCAGCATGGCGAAATGTGAAGAAGCTACTTATAGCGATGGCCTCCACCCCACCTAGCGATGGCCTCCAACCTAGAAGCAACAAAACGATTTAAACATATACGAACCATGCTTTCACAGGCTGTAAAAACACCAACTCAAAGTCTGTTGTCACATGTTGTCACCTTGATGCAATTTAAGCAACTGGCATCCTCCTGTATGAAGAAAGAAAGACATGTAATTCTTGGACATATTGAACGTTGCTGCCAAACGTTTACCGTTCAGCCAGTCTTCGCAACTTTTGGACCGAAACAAACAGGAAGACTTCTGAAGTATATGCTCTCTCTCTCTCTCTCGCATGGTCTTCAAACATTCAGCTTCAAACCTTCAGATTTTCACCGTGGAGTTGGTCGGAGTTCGACTTAAAATAGACTTGAACCGTTGGCCAACTTGGGTGAAACGGTGCATTTGCCGTTGGTCACGCGGGCTTCCGCATGATCCCTCAGAGGAAAAGGATGGAAAAGGGTGCCACATGAAAACCACTCTTAATCCTCATGTCTTCAGGCCTGGAGACCTAGCTCACAATGTCAATTCGGAGACCGAGCAGACCTACCAAGCTCTAGCAGCTCTTGCGTTGTGAAAAAAATAAATATATTCTTGTTACTATACTAGTAAGGCACTTGTTACTAGAAGCGATGCACTTGTTACTAGTAGCTTCTTGTTACTACTAGTAAGGCACTTGTTACTATACTAGCGATGCACTTGTTCCTCGATGTCTTCTCTCAACCAAGATCACCACCAGCTTGTGGCATGGCCCTTGGGGCGAACACCGGCTGGACCTGCAGGTGTCGACACGAATGACCAGCCACCAAAAGCAAGAAGCCAGGCCAAAGGGTCTCTGATACATGTTGTTCAAAAAGTTGAATTGATCCATCTTAAGTCTCTCAGTAAGATATCTTAAGCTTCTAGCTACTAGTAACAAGTGCATCGCTACTAGTAACAAGGGCATTACTATCAGTAGCAAATATGATTCTATGTTGTGGTGTCATCTTCCGAGCCTGGGGATTAGCTGTCAGGACGGTTGCCGGTGCCATACATCTCACCAGACCACCTGAAAAAAACTTCCACCGGGCGGTTTTCCACTCAAATCCGCTGTGTGTTTTCACACGTCCGATCTCAGAATCCCACCTCCATGTTCGACCTCAAGGACACTTCTGCAATAGGTTTTTTTTGCTGAACTTACGACTTGATCTTATGTCTCTGGCGAGGTTTTGTTGCAAAGTGGGTCTTGGCATCAACACATCCCCCAGTTGTCATGGCATGTCGCGTCTCTGGTGTCTCTCACATGACCGCAGCTTCTCCTTTTTGATCCGCGGTCTTCAGGGATTCTGCGCATCCTCGGTGTCTGAATGACATGAATGCTGGAAGGGTGTGATTCAGTAGTGTGCATTGAAGGTATAGACCGTGGCGTCATTCTGGTGTATGATTTACTAAAATCACAAGGAATTGCACAGTTGAAAAGCAAAAAAACACGTCTGCGAACGACTGCATTTAGAGTTTTTTATCGAAGGGTGGCCAAAGATGCTAGTCGCGACGGGGTGGTAATGGCCATGAAGGGCTGACGTGTTTTTTTCTGGGTGTGTTTTTCGATTTTAATTCACCGGTAGGTTTTTCATATGGTGCCCTAGCTCTATGGATTTGGTTTGGCTTTGGTGAGATACTTCGGGTTGCGGGGTTGTTTTGCTGGATTGGTTTTCCGCATTGTAGCCAGGATTCCAGGATGAATCTTGTCGCTTTTGTTGGGGGCTGTCATAAAGAAATGCTCAAGCCACCGACTGCAGCACACGCACACACTCCCCACATCGACCTGTGCGCCCGTTGTTTCCTATATGATGGGAACTGCTTTGAAGGCTTTGATAGGCAAAAGCTGGCGCTGTGTTGGGCTCGCCACTCACTTGCGCACAAAAAACACCTCGCGAAGTTGGCAGTCGACCCTGCCTATTTAAGTAGTAAGGGGCCGGGGCCTTGTCCCAAGCCTCACATGCGCATATAAAGAACCTCACTTGCGCAGGCATGACTGACTTGCGCACAGAGGCATCTTGCTACATTGGAACGGCCCACGCCTCTAAACTTTACCCTCGGATGGCTCACAGGTCTGCCACGTTGGGATGACACCTACCTTCCTGCAAATTTGCACTCGGTTGGCTCACAAAAAGGTACGCTACATTGGAATGGCTCCGAACCTTTACGTCACAGCTTTGGTAGCTGGCCACCTGCAGCACAGTGCTCAATAAATTGGCCACTGCAGGCAGCACAGCTTTGCAAGCAGCACACCATCAAAAGCAAACAGAATCCACGGTGCTTCCTTCCTTTCCTTTCCTTCCTTCAATGTAACAGATAGAAAAGAAAACACACACACACAAATACGAGCTCTGCCACCAAGGTCCACGTACTTTTAGACGGCCTTTATAGTGTTGGTTTAGAAAGAATATGTTAGATGTTGTTTGCCGGAAGAAATAGAGAGAGAGGGTTGTAAAGGTTGTTGGAACAACTGCTCAGGGGCAGGTCAACACCTAAGGCAAATCAGTAAAATATTAGGTTGGAGGCCATCGCCATGAGGTTGGAGGCCATCGCTAACAGGTCGAAGTCCATTGCAATTAGAAACAAAGAACAACGAAAAGGAAGAAAGGCCGAATAATTATGGTTTGCTACTAGTAACAAACGGCATCGCTACTAGGAGCAAGAGGCTACTAGTAGCTCCTGGCAGTACTACTAGTAACAAGAAGCTACTAGTTTGCAGTAAGCTCTTCTGAAAACGTTTCTGTTAGAGCGCCACCAAGACCTGAAGATTGGATAGGCCGTCAGGAACTGCAAGTAGAGGAGCACTTAAGTTGAAGACCTAAAGAATCCTAACGGCGCTTTCGTCAAACGGCAACTGTAACTGCTTCCATTTTCGTTGATCTCTGGATGCTTTCCATCATGAAACCACTGATGCCCCATGTCTGAGCTTAAGACACACAAGGAAGCCCTCAAAGTTCGCAGCTCTCGCTCCCGTCTCTCAAATCGTCTTTGCATGTTCTCCAGCTCAGGAGTTCTCGTCTCCTCCCTGCGCTCCATTTCGCTCGGAACGACCGCATGGACGGACGCGTCGTCTGCCGTGGGTGCCGTGGGTGTCGTTTCCCATCGCCGACCCGACACGAAGGACCCCAGGTCTGATGGAACCTGGTCCGGTGTCCTTTGTCGCACGCGCTCGCGGTGCCGTTGCTGTGCCCGCATCGCCCGCAACTCCACCCGCAGCCGACGGGCTGCCTCGGCCTGGAAAGGCGAGCTCTGAATCTGGTTTGACGTTGTTCACAATAGGAAAACACCATATGAATTGTTCACTTCTACCTCTTCAGCCGTTGGTCTAGCCAGTAGCCTCAAAACAGAATATGAACAATTATGAAAACACAATATGACAACATATGCAACACACATGCGAACATGGACGAAGTTGGAAATCTTGGATTGACACGTGTTTTGGTATGCAAGTTCAGCATCAAAAGCCCAAGCCCAAGGATTTCACCTTTGAAGCCGACTGATCAAACCTGTGACACTCAGGTGGAGATGGGTGCTTCAATCATCAAAGCCAAAACTCGGATGCAGCGGTGGGTGCTTCAATCATCGCCCAGTTTCTGGTTTCCGTGTGGTTTCACTCCGGGCTAGTTGATGAAAGGTGTCCGGTTGATGCAACTGACAGGCTCTGGGCCACAGTTTACTGAGCAGCACGTTTTTGGCCATGAGTCCTTGTAGCTTCTGGTGGCCGAGGAGATCTTTCATAAATGCTGGACATGCAATCTGTCTAGCATGCAGTACCAACATCCCTCAACACACCCAGAGCCAAATTGAACTTGAGCGGGGGAAGGGCGGTTGCTTGGTAGGGTATCAACAGCAAACAAAGGATTCAAACCAAGAAAAGCTTGACAATGTCCTGACCCCTGTTTAGCCCATTGATTTCATTGCTCCAGCCGGACTCCAGCCTCCGTCTTAATTTGTGATGTTTCTGCTCGAAGAGCACCTCGAAGTGCATCCAGCTCACCATGCCTTTCCTCTGACTGCAAAAAACGAGCTTCCAGCTTCCTTTCTTGCAGCACTTTCCGATCCTTTGCTTCGAGCTCTTTGTGGGATTCTCGAAGCTCCGCCAGGCAAGCCTGTTCCCCTTTCAACGACTCGCGAAGACTGGCATTCCGTTTGCGCGAGAGTTGAAAGTCTCGAAGCGCGCGTGCTTCGCTCGTTTCTGCCGCCTGGTTCTCACGAGATGCAAATGCCAAGCTTCTTCGCAATTCCAAGGATTCGTTCAATGCCTCTGCCACTTCCCTCTGTTTCGGAGCAAGAGCCTTTTCAGCCTTTACATATGCCCATCGGGCATCAGCCGCCTCAGCCTCTTCCTTCTCCAACTCACGCAGCTCAGACTGGGCTTTGGAAAATGCCAATTCAGATGCTGCTTCCTCCTCAAGTGCTTCATGCATGGCTTCAGTCTCGAGCAACTTCTTCTGCAGGTGATTGGACATACTCCAAGCCTTCCCAGTCAATTCCTGCTGAAGATCAGCGCAGCGTTGAATCTGACCTTCAAAATGAAGAGTCTCCCGGTGATATTGCAATTGGCTTTCTTCGCTTTTCTCCACCTCCTCTCGCCTCTGATCTTCTAAGCGCTTCCGCAAGGTCTCCAGTTGCTCAACCTCCCAACGTCGTTCCCGAAGCACTTCTCGACTCTCAGTTCCCATCTCGGCCTCTCGCTCAACGGTGCCAAGCTTTTCGCAACACTCAGCTAAAACTTGCTCTTCCAAAAGGAACTCCTGCTGTAAATGGGCCAAAGTCCCATCCAGGCTTTCTTGCCAACAAAGAACTTCTTGTTCGTATCGTTCTCTCACACTTAGCGCTTTGAGTTTGGCATCTCTCCAAGCACAAAAACGGTCGCCATCTTCGTCCCTTGTGTCCAAAGGTTCCTTGAGCACTCGTGCAAATGTTTCAGCTTGTTCTTGCTTTACCCTAGTATTTTGGAGACACTCTTCATAAGCAAAGCGCAATTCTTCTACAGTTGCCGCTTGTTCCTCTGCCCAATGAGCTTCTCTCCGTGCCTTTTCATTCTTTGCTGTGCGCAAGGATATCAACAAGGCGACCACTTCAGCCACGCTCAGCGCCAAGTGTTCCTCCATCCCTGTCACATCTTCCTCCAGAAATGTCCCTTCACCACCGTCATCGGCTCTATCGGCTCTATCATCGTCATCATCCTCGTCTCTGTCACTTCTGTCCCTTTCACGTTTCAGGCCTGCCATTTCACGCAGTTCCTTCAAAGTGAGCATGCTAGGGTGGAGGTCATCGCTACTAGGGTCACGAAGAGGGCGAAGAGGGCGAAGGGCATCACCCATGGCCGGCGTCGCGGGCCTTTGCTCCTTCGGTGACGAGAGCATCGTTGTCATGGGCGTTTTCGATCGCGTGGTCATGGACGCTTTGAGAGAAGCGTTCAGACATTGCAGTTGCCTTGCAGATAAGCTGCTCTGAATCACTGCTGCCAAAAGTTGTGCATTCTCATGTTCCACAGGCAGCATGTTGTCTCGCAAGGATCGTGGTAAGAGCTTCTCTACTTCGATCAACGAGAACACCATGGAATCTTCGAAGTCCATGGCTTAGCATCCAGGACTTGCATCCGGGCAAAGTCTTCTCTGTCAGTCCTTTTGAGCAAACATCATTGCGATGATCGCTGACGTATCTTTCATCCTATTTCGATGAAAAACGGATCGCAATTAGTGTCTGTTCAGTCTGTCGGCCCATCTGAGTTCCTCGCTCTCCAAAAAACCGGAGAAGCACCGCAGGGAGTCCCTGGGATTTGCCTCTTCAGGTCGACATGAAAAAACAAAACAACGCTTCAGGTTGACTCTGGTAACAAAGGGCATCGCGAACCGAACGTCACTAGAAGGGCATCGCTACGAGTCCGGAGCAAGAAGCTTTCTAACTACCCGGAGCAAGAAGCTTTCTAACTACTAGAAGCTTTCTAACTACTAGACTAGAAGCTACTGTTGGGATCTCTGGGATTCACCAAATCGCCGGCTCCCAGCTTACGCTCAAACAGAACTCAAACAGCCGAGAAGCCTGATTGCAGTTCGAGGCTCTTCGCCTC